AAAATGAATGAGGGAGGACCAAAGTGATTGACCCTGGTCCCTAAGTCCATGTGGGGTAATAGGAGAGAATGAATTCATCCAATGGAGGTGAAGGTGGACAAGGTTAGATAATTCAATAACTCCTTGGCTTCATATTTCTGCCTGTGGGAGCCTTCCCAAAATAAAAATAGAGTCTGTTAGGGAAAAAACCAACGTCTGAGCCCTAAATCAAGGGGAAGTAATAAAGAGAGAGAGGTCAGTCCCACCAAACAGGGCTGCTTACAGGTTTTTGAGAAGGAAAGGAATCACTGTGAGGTCAGGATAGGATTTATAAAACTAAGGGAACCTTCCTGAAAAGAGTAGAAGAAATGTAGCCTGGAAGAGTGGGTAGTTTTGCCATGATCTCCACCACAGAAATCGGTGTGACAGAGGAAAGATTTCCATCCCATTCATGTGAAGTAAATTCTTAAGAGTATAGAAAATCCAAAAGCTGAAAAGGGTTAGTTTTTTGCGAGAAAGAACATGGCAGTAGGATTGGTCCTCACTAAGCCCAAGGGGTAAAGACTTCAGTAGTCTTTACTGAGTAACAGAATAACAGATTCTGTTCAGAAATCTGTTGAGGATGATTCTACAACTGAAACGGATGTGGGGGCCTCAGGGTAAAGCGTCCCTAGGACGTAGATTCTAGGGCCTACACATATTCTGCTCAAATAGGACTAGACAGAATCCACACTCAATCCAGGAGTACATGGTCTACACAGGCAATGGAAGTTCAGGGGTATTGGATATTTTTCAAGGCATTATGGCATGCTAGTTAAAAGTATGGACTTTGAGGCCATTGTGCCTGGGTTCCTATCCCAGCTCTACCTCTTACTACCTGTGTGATTTGGGGCAAGTTACTTAGCTTCTCTCTGTCACATTTTCCACTTCTCAAAGGGAGAAGATAGTACTTCGCTCGTGGAGTTCTTAGGATTAAATTATTTAATATGTGTGAAATTATTTAAAACACGTTGAAATTCAATAAGGGCTATTATTATTAGAAATATTTTCATCATTGAATGGGACTTAAAAAATGTTTTTAATGTTTACTTATGTTTATTTAATGTTTTTTTTATGTTTATCATGACCTGAGCTGAAGTCAGATGCTTAACCAGCTGAGCCACCCAGGCACCCCACCTGTTAGATTTTTTTTTAAGACTCTAGTCACTCTCTCCAGCCAATTAGTTACTAAATTATTTCCCTCCTTTTAAAGTCCTACTCCATAAGCTGTCCAGTCTGGTTGTTGTTGCTGTTTTATCCTTTCCATATGTTGAGCGTGACCTTCAAGATCTCCTTTTTCCTCTTCTGTTTAATGTGTTCTCCCAAATTCCAACACTTCCATTAAGGAAATCTCTATTTTTCTTTTCTCAAGCATTTTCCAACTTGTCTTCTGCTGTTTCCTGAGCCATCTCTTTAGGTATTGCTATACTACAGAAAAGGAGAAATTCACCTTATAATATAAAAAGGAATTTAGGGGCACCTGAATGGCTCGGTCCGGTGAGCATCTAACTCTTGATTTCTGCTCAGGTCATGATCCCAGAGTCGTGGGATTAAGCCCCACATCAGGCTCCACACTGAGCAAAGAGACTGCTTAAGATTCTCTCTCTCTCTCTCTCTCTCTCTCTCTCTCTCTCTCTTCCTCTGCCCCCTCCTCTGCGCTTTCTCTCTAAAATAAAATTAAAATTTTTTTAGAAACTTAATGAAAGCCAATGATAAAGTAACTACTTCAAAGAGTTTTACCATCAGCATTATGAACCCCAAGTCCATAAAAACCTGAGCTCTCTTGCTTCCAAGCCAATCCCAATGTACAAGAACTTATCAACCTTCGGGTGTGCCACAGTTGCTAATGTCCCATTGGACCAAGTAAGTCACATAGCCAAACCCAGAGTCAATGTGGGAGGGAACCATGACAAATCATAGATTCTGGGAGCCATGATTCATTGGAAACCATCAATATAAGAGCCTACCACCCTACCATAATATGTACATGCATCTTAACAATATGTTTCTTCTGCAACACTATATTCATGGTCAGTTCTTTCTGCTGCCCTTTCTTCAGTTTCTTTCTTAATTACTCGTATTTCAGTTTTAGAGCTTCTTCTCAATGACCAATCAATTTATTAAATCTTTACATTTCGGTTTAGAAAAGGAAAACTGAGTGACTCCATAATGCTCTGTGACAGATTATTATACAAGTTAGGAGAAACAGCTATACTGTGTTAATTTTAACAAGGAAAAAAGGAAATGGGAAAAAGCTTAATATAGGGCAGGGGAAAAGATGCAAAAAGATACCTCATGTCTCAGTGAGAACGCAGGCATCTGAGCAGACCCTATGGGATCTACAGAATACATTTCAGCCATGATGTCTGCCATATTTGAATTAGATAATTTCTAGAGCTATGGAAAGATAAACAGGACCACCTAAGTTATGACTAACATTTGAGTGTCCTCTGAGTACCTCTGAGTAGGCAGGGATGAATGAGACAGAGCTTCTCTGAGGAGCTCATGGTCAAGTGTAGGAAACAGATTATCATATAACTAAAATACAAAGTTAAAACAGAAACATCTTATAAATATTAATGGGCAAATTTTTTAATAAAAAAATAAAATTCCCTTTATTAATATCATACTCAGTTTGGCTAATGTGAGAGAATAGATATTAGAAAAGGAGAAGGGGTGGTGGGGCACCGGGGTGGGGGGCGGGAAGCAAAAGAGAAGGGAGGAGAAGAGAAAAAAAATCAAGCGCAGGGGCTGCTTGAGAAGGACTGGGGAACAGAAGGAAATGGAATCTACATGATGATAGAAGATAAAAGGAATGCTTTGTCTGCTTCATTTTATCTAGACTGAAGGTGGATAAGAAATAGACTAGATAAAATTTTAAGTTCTATATTCTTGAATTCCCAATACCCATCCCCTCCTCATACAAAAGGCATTTTCTGAAGTGTGGAGAATCCTATCCTGACACAGTAGACACCATTCTCAAATTGAAGGCCAGAGGGTATTCCTGAATTGAAAGGAAGAGCCTTTAGAGACTTCCTTAATTAGAAGCCATGTCACTTCTAGGCCATGTTACAGCTTCACCTGGAGAAGTGTAGAGTTCTGAAACCAATCTTTCAGAGCCTTTCAGGCTTTTATAACTCAAAAATAGGCGATGAGCTCATTTTGGAAATGCTACATTCCTTTTATGAAATGATACAGAAAAACTGGTGGAAAATAACTAATAGTGGTATTTTTGATTGACATTCTAGACCCGCACAAACATTAGTAATCTAGATAACGAGATTAATAAAATAATCTGGAATCAATAATCTATAATGAAGAAACTAGATAAAATCAAATCCCAGGGTACATATTTTACTATAGAATTTATTTGCATTTCACAGTGCCTGATTTAGGAGCAATTGTAGAAATTTACTTGTGTTTTGAGATGAAAAACACACATTGATGTTGTGCTAGAGAAATACTTTATAAAGATGGGCAGGAAGAGGCCCTGTGTTTGGATGTGTACATTATAGAGTACTTGTGAACACCTTCACCCTACCATTTCCTCTTAAATGTTTAGAACAGCTGAGCCATTCTCTCCATAATGTAGACATGGTTCAACAAATGGTTCCTCTATCTACAGACTTTAAATGTGATACAGAAGCCACTAGGTTTATAGCACACCAGCGATGAACTCAAGATGTAGCTATAATTAGGACTTTGAAACACAGATGAAAGAGAGAAGGAATCTTCAGTTTCCTTTACCATAACTTTAAAAATAGAAAACGGGTGCCATCTTGTGGTTATTTTAATAAGGTCGCTTAAACAATGACTTTCTGGAGACGCAACTTAACAAAATCTCCTATTTCTTTCTCCTTGAAAATACTGTTAAACATATCTTTCTTAAACTCTTGGACTTGGTACTCTTACAATCTGGAGATTTCATTAAAATGCTAGACCTACCCACATAAAAACACAATCACAATAATATTAGGTGACTACAAACCATGAAAAACATGGCAAGCAATTTTCATAATTCTTAAGAACCGCTCAAGACCTGCTTCTCGGTTGCGTGCATGTTAAAAGGTAGGTAAAGGTTTTCGTAAAAACGGTGACATGAACACAGGGGTCCCTCCATCCTGGGAACTGTGGGCGGAATAGACCCAAGATAAATACACACTTTTCAGCCCATTTATTTATTTCTAACTTTTTACAAGAAGAATATATGTTACGTTTGTAGTTAACAAAAAGAATCACTAAACCAGGTGTACGAGGTTCACCTTACCCGAGAACTGTGTTACTGGATGCTCCCCGGAAAGGTAACACCGCATTTGTGTGTGTGTGTGTGTGTGTGTGTGTGTGTGTGTGTGTGTGTGTGT